TAACAATTAAAAAAATGTTCAGACGATTGTGTAAGGAACAACAACCTCTCGAGACAAAGTCCCAACGAGCGTTATTTTATTTACGAAGATTACAATTTACAAGAAGCGAAATGCCTCCAAGGGACGCAAACACAGTGAATTCGCAAAGTAATTGAAAGTTAACAAGAAGAAATAAATGAAATTACATAATTCTCTGTTTGAAAGTCGTTTTGATCATACCATCTTCTAAATTCTTCTTTCTCTTTTATACTCATTTGACATTTTTTCTATAAAATCATTTGAAAACTGTTTATCACCCTGTAACTACCCGCTTTCTCCATAATAGATGACTTGTTAAGAAACTACCGTTTTCAAGAGTTGTCATTACTCCAATCTTTTAACTTCTTGCAACCGAGATTCTTGGATCGTGGAATGTGATAAAATTATCCATTAACTGCTTCAATAACCGTTGTTTCGAATAGCAATCAAAATACTATATTCGCCTAGATCTTGGGCGTCTCACAAGATTGAGCAATGATGGGTTCGCTCAGATCTTGGGCGTTTCGTATGCTTGAGCCTTGAGTGATGATGGGCCTCCATTACATAACTCCGTCTTGAGTTTTTATATGGTCTCGTTTGGGTCCATCCTTCGAATCTCCTAACTGTGCTTCATTCTTTGGAACATTTAATTGAGCCTCATTTTTGTATGTCAACAATTACCCTCCAATATGGCAAAGTTAATACCAATTATTAATCTTATGCCATATTCCTCCTTTATATTTTCCCACGATGCTTGAAATCCCAAAAAATGGCGGAGAATCTCAATCATTATTTTCGTTTGGCGGTGACCCTTAACGTCCTGAAAAGTGTAATATCACACAATTCCTATAAACCAAATAACACGTCACTTCATCGCACAATTATACCCACGTCTTGCATCGCGCGCTTCTTTTTTCCCTATAAAGATCATTGCTCATCTTCTTGCTTCTCTGCTACGCTTTTACAAACCCCCACGAAGACTGTAACTTGTAGTGGATGGCGACTTCTCAGAGCTCTTCCGACAACTCCCTTAGTTTTGAAGACTTCGAAAACCTCATCACCAAGCCATATATAAATCCAGCTTCCCTTTCACCAGCCAACCCTGACCTCCATGAGTTCTACCTAGACCCGTCATATAATGATGCTGAATATGTTGGGAAACCAGCGGTGGGCCAGCTATTCCCTTACACTCAAGATCCTCCTTTTCTGAACCCTCTTCCGCTGAAGTCAATCCGCAAGAAATGTATTCGCACTTAACCCAAAACTGATACTATTTTCCGCCTTTGGTATGCACGTATGACAAATCATGGCCCCACTAAGGCAATTTTTTATCATGCTAGGATTTCAAATTTATTAGAAATCGCTCTCCGTCCCCCAATCTTTGATGCCGTGTTTTTCCCTATTGCTTTAAATTTTTGGTCTTCTGAGTATAATATTTTTATTTTCTCGCTTGGCCAAATGTCTATTACTCTGAGGGACGTTGGAGCCTTAGTTAACCTTCCGCTCCTGGGCGACACAGTTTCTCCTCCCATTTTGGTCACTGGTGCTGTCCCAAAATTTGATAAAAGATTCACTGATTCTTATTCCGGCATGCAAGAACTTTATAATAATATTAATATTTATCGATTTTGAATTATGTTGAGCATTGAAAATAATATGCCCAAATGCTTATTAGCTTTATATGTTTGCACATTTGGTTAGAAACCAATTCCTTCGTTGATGTGATGACTTCCTCATATCCTTAAGAAAAATATTGAAGAGAGAATTGTATTTGTGGGGTCATGTTCTGACTTTATAAAGTTTTACTAATTCTTTGGCAATTAACACATTAGACTTTCTTGTATATTTCTGTAATTAACAAAATTATCACCTAATCCAAAAAAAAAAAAAAGATATGGACGTTTTTCACAATAATAATAAAAGGTATGGACATTATATGCTAATTACCATTTTAATAATTTATTTGATATTCATTCGTGCTTTTTTTTTTTTTAAAAAAAAGATTAAGACTATGTTTGCAATTATTTTTTTCTTTTTATTTTCGTTTTATTAAAAATAAATGTATATTCGTTATTTCACAATTTTTAATTGAGAAAATGGATAAAAATGACATTTTGCGCAATAAAATGTGAAAATGCCAAAAAAAAAAAAGAAAAGAAAAGTAAAGACATTTTTCACAATAGTGGTGAAAGGTAGGGACGTTGTGTGTTAATTATCCTTACTTAAAAATAAAGTAGTTTTAATGGGGTTTGTTGAGACCTTTAAATTAAAAAATAAGTACTTTTTTGTCATGGAAAGTTAAGTCGAGTTGACCGTGTTGCAAGTCCAACTATTCAGCCAAAAATTTGACAAGGAAAACCACGCATTGA